TAAATATATTAAAGAATAGAAGGAAGGAAAAAAGCATAAATTTTCAGAGATACTAATGCCCTAAATAATAATAATAATAATAATAAATATCACAATTTTGTTTGTATAATTATTTTTTCTGCTTTCTTCGTTCCTTCGAAAATTATTATTCTAATGATAACCATTTGTGGATTTAGAAACTTTATTAGAAATTTTACTAAAATTATCAACATCGTTATTTTCATTCTCATCTATCAATGATTCAGATTTAACACTTTGTGACATCATTCGTTGTTGATGATGATAATTTGGGGGAGGTGATAATAAGTATTGTTGTTGTAAATGTGAAGATGTTGAAGACGATGACGATGTAGAAGAAGAAGATGATGATGTGGTAGAAGAAGCGGAGGAAGGATGAGGTGGTTGATGTTGTTGTTGTTGATTTTGATGATGCTGTTGCTGCTGTTGTTGTTGTTGCAAAGGAGGATGTGGTAGTTGTGGCGATGTTTGTTGTGGTAGTTGTGAAGAGGAAGAAGGATATTGAGAACGATCATCATCGTCATCTACCCATCTTTGCATAACATATTTTGTACATTTTTCTGCTCCAGGCAATTCCTACGTAATAAGGGAGTGTTAATGTAAAGATATATGATTATATAAATAATATATAATAATATGTATTACTTGTATGTATTTTGTGATTCCTAAGTGACTCAGACCCAACATTTCAGGACCACTTGCATGAGTTTTTGAAGGAACGCCTTGTACATTAATTTCATCAAGGATTTTTTTCCAGACACCGCTTGACGAACTTGCACTAAACTTACGTCCTGGTTGATCCTCTGCTGTAATTTGAAACTATAACATTAATAATATTATTAAAGAGAATGAATGAGTAAATTAATTAATTGATTGATTGATTGATTGATCGATTGATTAATTAATTAATTAAAAAATTTTAAATTCCTCTCTATTTCTATCTCATGTTTCTCTAACTCTCGCACATATATATTCATATTTTATATAATTACAAATAATAAACATACAATTGGAGTGTCACACGCTTTTGTTTAATTTGGAAGACAATGTTGACTTAAATTGTACCTTTTTTTCCTATTCATTCCTTTTGTGTTCCCTTATACTTGCGACGACCTTATTGGGACCATAATGAAAGGCGTAGTCGTTTCATGTGAGGTTACTGGCAAACAATTGGGTCTATGTTTTTCAGAAAATCCCTCCTCTAGTTATTATCTTAATCATGTTTTTGTTGTTTATCTTAGCCGATGAGAGCGTCCAGTGTACTTTAAGTGCCAATTGATTGAGATTGATTGATAGAGAAAAAAAGTTTACGCAATGCAGTAATAATTTACGAAACTGCGCTGTTATGTGTCTTTTTGGATGGGTTTTAGAACGAAGCCTTGAATTACAGCTTTTTTCATAACGACATGATTTGTTAGAATGCGAGTTATTATTAATCGCATCTTATAATTTAAAATTAAATTTTTTGTCGATATATTGTCACGTGAATTCGTTGAAACACGATTAGTTCTTATTACTTTCCAAACATTTATTAAAAAAAGTATCGGCCAAA